TGGGATAAGTGCCAAATGCCTCTATGAACTTCAGTGAACATAGCACAGGATTATTAATTAAATGTAGTTCTTCACTTGAAAAATAAGTGTACTGGACCCTACCAATTGGTGTGTGAATTAATTTAATATAGTTTCAAGTATAGGAGTGATCGAGTGCAGTTAACTTTTTATTATGCTATTTCTATTTCTTGAAATGCACACCCTTGTTTAGAGATTTTCTTTTTCTCCCCAAGCTAAGATTTCTGTCCTTTTTAGTTTAGTCTTTATGGGCACGTTGCAAATATGCTACCTATTTTTCAGGTCTATTGTAGTAGAGCCAATTCTTCACTTCTCTGCTTCTCACCTGTTTCTGTCTATTTATTTGTGTATAAGATGTCAAAGGAAAATGAAAAGTAACACCTCAAAATACCACCTTGAAAAAGAAAATGCCAACAAATTCTTTTCTGCACCTGAAGCTTTTAATTCTTTAATCCACTATGGAATGTTGCTTAATTACATATTTTATTATGCATAACTGAAAATTATGTACTTTAGTTTCAACAATGATATGAAAGCACGTATTGTTTATAAATAAAGAGAGGCTGGTTTGTCTCTTTTCTTTATGTTACAAATATTTGTGGAATTCTCACAGGTTCTCCGTCTAAAATTGGCTTCTTGAAAATTCTCAGAGAGTTCTGAGAAAAATTTCTTTTCAATATTTTCTCCAGAAATCAGAAAATTCATTACTTTGCAAAAAGTAAGATAATGTTAGAATATGATTATGGGCAAAAACCACTGAACAGTTTGAATATTTTCATAAAAATTTCATCTTAATGAGTTTCGCAAAGTACTTACTAATGGGAAAATGTTACAATGGTTGAACTGGGGAGGAAACGTCAGGGGTTCGTTACATTATTCTTTTTTTTTGTATAGTTGAACATTCCTATGATAAAGTGTATGTTTTGGGACGCCTGGGAGTGGCCCAACAGTTGAGCGTCTGCCTTTGGCTCAGGGTGTGATCACGGAGTCCCAGGACGGAGCCCCGCATCGGGCTCCCTGCATGGAGCCTGTTTCTCCCTCCGCCTGTGTCTCTGCCTCTCTCTCTGTGTATCTCATGAATAAATAAATAAAATCTTAAAAAAAAAAAATAAAGTGTATCTTTTTTTTTAGAAAAAAATATTTTGGTTATATGGCTCTTATACCTGGAAGGCAAACTTTGGGGGTTAATATTTCATACACTTGATTTCAATTAGTGACAGAATTTTTCATATTAGTAAAATACCCGGTACATTAGATTTCTGAAAATTTTGAATTGCAATGAACGTTTCTACATTTTCTGCATTTGAAAAAGCTTTTATTAAGGAGAAGTAGCAATAGGAATGCATAGGTAGAAGGCTTGGGTTTGAAATGCATGAGGCCACTTAAGTGCTGCACAGATCAGTTACCCTTTTTGAGTTTCCCCTCCTGGGTGTTTGAAGAGGGAGTTTCAGAGCCTGCTGTCAGAGCCTCGGAGTGGAATGGAGACACGTTTGCAGCACTACCTTATATAACGAAGCATTCTACAAATGTTGTTGCTGTTCTCATTTTCAGCATATCTGAGTGTGCTGCTAGTAAGGGGGCCTCAGAAGGGAAGAAGCCTTTGAAAGAGATATGGGAAAATCTGGAAATTAGAACGGGAAACATTAAGATGCTATCGAACAGGTTCATGCTCTGAACTAAATGCTCATTTTGCATCGCTCTGCCACAGACTTGATGAATTAACAGACATTACATATTTGAAAGTTCTCAACATCCTCGTTTGACAGGTACAGTCTCTTCTTTTGTGAGTGGAATATCGGAGCAGCACATGGGGCAACATTTCTTTATAGGGGTGTAAAGACATGAATTTGACTCTGTCACTGTAATGAAAATGTATTTAAATAGCACATAAAGCACATAATCAATAGCAGTAAAAAAATCAACTAATAGCACAGAAATAGTGTTCGATGTTTAATTTAGTGCAAAATAGGTCACTTTAGAGTTTGTTTACTTGGCAAGGCAACAAGTATAAGATACTGTTTTACTGCATCTTCTCATCAAACATTATCGTAGAGAAGGGGGGGGCCCACGTCTCCCACTTTTTTTTTTTTTATCACAATAGGGATATTTGCAGGTGAAAATAGCTGACAGAACGGGACTTCGTACACAACCCTGGTATAAGGCAAGAAGCCGTGATGGAATTTTAGTGGAGTTATTTGGTAAAATCAAATTTGGGAATACATGATTCATATAAGTAGGGTAATGTAAGAAAGGCTTAAAAATGTTGCTCATCTTTTAAACATTAAATCCAAACTATTTTTATTTAACATTTGGTATTGTTTAACAGGTAATAGTATTCTGGACATACACCTTTCACCACATTTTTTTTTAAATAAGGGTACTTTATATTTTATAAAAAATGTGCATGTTAATAGATTGTAATTTAACCTTTGTCAAAAGACATGCAAGTATTTAGTATTTACATTAAAAGGATTGCTTCCGAAGAAACACTGAATTCATAATATGAATATGCCCCCTTTAAAAGTCAAAAATACTCATTTGTAAGATAAACTATAGTACCAGTATCTTTTGATATTTTTTAAATGTGATTAATATTTTTGGACCTTCATTGGTTTCCACACTATCATGCAAATTTTTGGCTTGCATCAGCAAGGTAGTTCTATTTTTTTATTGGCTATAGAAATAGGGTATACACATTTTAATTGCTCTTTTTGAAAATATCACCAGGCAGTTCAGAATACCTCATTTATTGATAATATTGTGACAATCAAGGACCTTAATATTAGCTGATGATAACAATAGGGAATAGGGCAGAATTTAATAATGAAATGTATGGGATTGTCATTTTTACTCAATGCTGAACCATTTGAAAATGCCTTCTACTCAAGCTATATATTTTAGATAAGCACAGTTAGATATAGATATCACTACTTGGAAAAAAAAAACCACTTCTTTTAAGCTCAGAATTCCTTAGTACTAAATGTTAATCAATACACATTTTATACATAATATGTACAGATTTTTTAACCAAGTGCCATACAACGAGGGCACACATATTAGTTACCTTGGTTTTCAAAGGTTATGTGTCAACTCTGCATATTACGTGCCAAGGAGATACTGTCAACATTATTTTTTGCATAATGTGCAAGTATTATATGGCCACAGAGTGTAATACAAATTAGTGGCAAAGTGCTGAGGGAAGGAATCTATGACAGATTCAGATGCACAAGGTTGAATATTACCCGTAAACTACCTGACTCTGCTAAGGTCTTAACAGCACAAAGCGCTATGTCATGCCCAGCTTCTAATAGTTTCTGAAATACGCGGACACAATGAAGCTTGTTCAAGGAGTTTTACCATAGCCACTGGTAGTAAGAGGACTGGCATGAACATTAAATGACATTGGGGGAGCAATGTGGAAGATGACCCAAACAAATCATCTCCAAATTGTGCCATCTTCTCTGAAAACAATTTTGCTCACTCCATCATGACCATCACTGGTTTTTGATCTGTGCTTTTATTTGTTTTTGGCTTAAAATATCATATCTAGGAAGATGATGCTGTTTAAGTTACAGGGTCCAAGTGAGAGTATTATTAGTATTGTATTGATTTCTTACACATGCTCATCAAATGCATTCAAAATGTTACTTCAAAAGAAATTAGGTTATTGGGAATGGCAAAATCGTATTGGCAATCCAATTTTCCTTCTAAAAAATTAAATTTCTGGCACCTTATATTCTGTTGGGGCTGGTTAAAATAATAAAAAGACTACTCCTTGCTTTAGCTTTTCCCTCTAAACCCAGAGGGGAGGGAAAAAAGAGGAAGAAAGGATTTGGTAAAAAAAACTTCATGGCACACTAGTCTCTACTCATTTTTTTAAAATACATGAAATCTAGTTTCTATTATATTAAATTTCTTTTCCTCAAATGGTTTTCCAAACTCGAAGTGAGCAAGAATGTTTAAAAGTTGTCTTCTCATTTAATAAAAAGAATTGAAAACTTTTTTTCGATACAATTTTGTTACAGCAAACCAGCTGCCTTCAAAGTAGTTCAGCTGTGCTTCAAAAGTAAATAGTACTTTTACGGCTGAATTGGGAGTCTTCAATGATGCCATTTTAGTTTCTTAAGTAAAAGTTCAACATTAAAGCAGCCCAGTTGCCTACCAATGAGCTCATCAGTGCCTGGAAAGATGATAGGCATGAAGAGATTGGACAATTTCAGAACCAACTATCAAGGAACCCAGATACCCCTATTAACATCTAGGAAATCTTAAAAAGAAGCAGCAAGAGATAAAGTGACTACAAAGAAATAATAATCAAAAACTGCAACACTGGCCTCAATCCATTCCATGACCATTAGCACACCTCATTTTTGTATCTCGGAGTGTATGGAGTTTTATGTTGCAAGAATTCTGAAGACTGTGTTTAAATTCCAGGTGTGTTGTTTTCTTCATTTAGTTCTTATAGTTATGACATACACAACCAAATGAGCTCAGAGTTATTAACCTATATTCCATTCATAACTTAAAAAAATACATTGCTAAGAGGTTTTTATACAGAAGGTCCATTTTTCCCCTACTTACTTTATGTTACTGGTAAAGGCCTTTAAAATATTTATACATTAGCTTCAAAAAAAGTGTTGCCATAATTAAATATTGTGAAATAAAATGCAGATGAATTCATTCTAAGTACGTAACTCCTAGAGACTAGATTTATGTTTTTGTTGGTGGGTGTTTCGACCATCCTGCTATCTCTTGTTTATTAGGCAAAATGTTAACCCCAAACAGGTTATGGTCTTCACTTTTAAACTTAAAAAATGAGCACGTGTTTGTGATTTAAATTTACAGTGTTTCAAGTGACTTTTCAATCGCTCTTTTTTAAAATCAGTAAAATATCATCAAGGAAATAGTAACATGCACCTAACTGAGAGGGCCATCTTTGACTCTTTCAAGTTACTTCACATAAGCAGACAAACCCTACCATGTCATACCATACAAACAATTTTAATTGTGTAGTTACAGTCAATAACCACTCCTAATCAGAACATTTCTGCATAAAGAAAATTGTGATACACTTATAAAAACAGCCAGCTGTAACAAAATAGCTGGTGTTTTCATAGCCATAAACTCATAAAAAAGAAATACACCTTTATACAGAAATTTTATACAGATGTAGCTTTAAAATTGATTGTAAACCAAAGGAAGACACATTGCAAACATCAATTATTTTCACATTAATTGCATAATTTTCTAAGGTGATCTATTAGTTTTATTTACCTAAGCTTATTTGCATGATAGTAAAAATTGCATACAACAATAAGAGTGAAGCTTATAGTATGAATTGCTTGGATAACATAGAGCACTTTTTATAGGCAACTGTGTAAAGCACATTTTTCTCTATTTAAAACTTTTAAGACACTTTGTTTTACTGCCCATCAAAATACATTTATAAATAGAAAAGAATCAGTATGGTAACAAGAGAAGCAATATTACATTTAACGGAAACTTCCAAAAAATTAATTACAACATGATGCTGCAGGATCTACAAATAAATAATGAGGACTAAATTGTGTTTCACATTTTCTTTTCATTTTTTTTTTTAAAAAATCATGTAACAATGAGAATGAAAAAAATTACAGTGAACTTTTATTTCCAAAATAAAAACAAATTTGAATTACGGCAGTGCCATATAATACAAGGCATTTGTTGGCATATGTCATCTTTAAACTGCATTCCACAGTCTATAGTTCTTTTGTAACATACAATAGAGTAACAAACTCTTTTTTTTTTTCTTCTTCTTCTTTTTTTAAAATAAGGGGCGAGTTTCCAAAGATCAGTGTGGAGTGTTACAGAAATAATTAAAGGAAGGAAATCATAATCACAGAAAGTTATAATGCTTGTTTGAGGCTCCAGAATAATAAAAAAAAAAAAAATTCTTTTTTTAAATTAAAAAAAAAAAATCACTGGTTATCATGCCTACGGGGTACACACCTCGATGTGTCCCGTGAACAGAAATTCTAACTTTTAATACCAAACAATCCTCGATGCTTCACCTGGGGCTGCCAAGCAGTTTGTAAAACAGAGTAAAACATTTAGTGCAGTCCGTATCATCCTTCCTCAACTCTCCTGTTTGTGCAAGTTTCTGAAGCTTCATTGGCCAAACCGTGGACAAGGAAGGTTTTTCCGGGAATACAAGGTGGACCTCCCCTTCCGGTAGTCAATCCCAGTGGCACTGCTGAGTGGAAGTGATACTCCGAGCTCAGTCTTTCAGGTCGGCGTTAATGTCTGTGTTCCCTTCCGCCGACAGCTCCTCTTCCAGCTTCACCGAGAAAAGGGTGTTAGCATTTTTGTCTTGGACGCTCTCCTCCAAATCCTTAAGCAACTCCTCCTCCTTGTACTCGGCCACGTCCACCTCCAGGCCCGAGTTGTCCTTCAGTTTGCCGTGGTGCTTGAGATAATACCGCTGGTTCTGAAAGAACTTGATGATGGTGTACTTGGGGAGGTCGAGCTGCGCCGACAGAGTCTGGATGGCCTCCTCGTCCGGGTACAGGCCGACGTCTTGGATGAAACTCTGCAGGATGCCCAGGGCTTCCACGGAAATCTTGGTCCGCGGCCGGGCCTTCTGCCGGTTGTCGTCCTCGGCCTCGGCGGGCGAGGCCACCGTGGGCTGCCGCGGGGGGAGCCGGGGCCCGCTGGGCTGCTGCGCCTGCGCCTGCGGGGGCGGCGGCGCCGGCTGCTGCTGCGCCTGCGCCTGCGGCTGCTGCTGCAAAGAGACAAGCGGACAGTCAGAGCGCTGCCTGCGGCGGCGGCGGCGGCGGCGGCGGCGGGCGAAACCACCTCGAAGGAGGGAAGGGGGGGGCACGGGGGTCTACCTGTAGCTTCTCCGACGGAGGCGGGAGGGGCGGGCAAACAATCGCGACCAAAAGGGAGGCCCGTCAGATGGCCCACGGCAGCGGGGAAGGAAGTCAAGTAGATAAGAGGCAGGGAGGGAGGTGTCTGATGGGGGAGGGGGTGGCTGATGGGGGAGAGGGTGACTGATGGGAGAGGGGGTGACTGATGGGAGAGGGGGTGACTGATGGGGGAGGGGGTGACTGATGGGAGGAGGCTGACTGATGGGGGAGGGGGTGACTGATGGGAGAGGGGGTGACTGATGGGAGAGGGGGTGACTGATGGGAGGAGGCTGACTGATGGGGGAGGGGGTGACTGATGGGAGAGGGGGTGGCTGATGGGGGAGGGGGTGGCTGATGGGGGGTGACTGATAGGGGAGGGGGTGACTGGTGGGGGAGGGGGTGGCTGATGGGAGAGGGGGTGGCTGATGGGGGAGGGGTTGACTGATGGGAGGAGGGGGTGGCTGATGGGGGGTGACTGATGGGAGAGGGGGTGACTGATGGGAGGAGGCTGACTGATGGGGGAGGAGGTGACTGATGGGAGAGGGGGTGACTGATGGGAGAGGGGGTGACTGATGGGAGGAGGCTGACTGATGGGGGAGGAGGCTGACTGATGGGGGAGGGGGGTGACTGATGGGGAGGGGGTGACTGATGGGAGAGGGGGTGACTGATGGGGGAGGGGGTGACTGATGGGGGAGGGGGGTGACTGATGGGGAGGGGGTGACTGATGGGAGAGAGGGTGACTGATGGGGGAGGGGGTGACTGATGGGGGAGGGGTGGCTGATGGGGAGGGGGGGCTTGTTTCCTCATCGGAGGTCAGGGGAGCCTCCCCACCCTTCATTTTCAGTCTGGCTCACGGAATGAAAACTCAGCGCACCGAAAATGTGAGCCACAACCTTCACCAGGATACGGATCCGAAGGCCAAGACAGCAGAGCAAACGATGATGGAAATAATTAACAGAGATTTAAAATGAAGATTGAAAGGGCACCTGGGCGGCCCAGTGGTTGAGCATCTACCTCCTTGAGCTCAGGGCGTGACCCCGGGTCCCGGGATGGAGCCCTGCATCGGGCTCCCCAAGCAGGGAGCCTGCTTCTCCCTCGGCCTGTGTCTCCGCCTCTCTCTCCTCTGGGTCTCTCATGAATAAGTACATATTTTTAAAAATTAAATGAAGATTGAGGAGTAAGGATTTCAAAGACGTTTTAGAAAGGAGTGCTACAGACCCGCGGGGGGGGGTGTGTGTGTGTAAAGAAACCTGTGTTTTGACCCCATTTCATCCATGGCTAAAGCAAGGAGCAAGAAGATAAAGTTTATTTAAATTCCAAATAAAATGGATAAATGCCTGTTCTTCAGCATTATCCCTTAAGGCTCCGAAGGATTTCTGAGATTCTCACGTTTGTGAATTTCCTACCAGTCAGTTCCGATTTAATACACATACAATTTCTTATCAAATTGCACTAGGCTGACACTGCAAGTTTTTTTTTTTTTTCTTCTTACCGGAAAATAAAAGTTTGATGCACCGTATAACGGCTAGTAAATTGTTTTGTCTATAGTAAACTCAGATGTGATTAGGATTTAAATTTAGTGTATACAGACACTTTTTCGTAATTAGTGTCTGTACACGTGCGGTAATTTCCATACACAATTATACATAACAAATGTGTGACACATGCACATACTGTATACTCTATATCCATAATTCTTATCATCAAAGCAAATCAACCTGAGTGAGCGGCAAAATATTAGAGCCTTTAGACTGTGCCTAACCATTTCCTTTTATCCCCCTAAGAAACAGTTTTATTAAAAACAATTTACCTTTTCAAACAAGTACTATTTTTTATTACTTAACATATATATACCTTTCTCTTTGTTTTTGCCAAGCAGTAAGTTTTTTAGGCTTTCCTGATGATTTCAGTGCTTGATATCCTAAGGGATTCTCTTTTCCAATTTATCTTTAATACATACTCAAGGATTTTTTTTTTTCCTAGTGGGTGGATAACCCTATTATTGTTGGTTTTAGCTCCCCATATATATGTGTGTGTACATATATAGTCTCCACCCGCCCCCACAGCAATACCAAGAAATAATGCAGGTGATTCAACAAAGACAGAATTTTAGGACCCTGGAAGGCAGTGGCATTTTCTCTTAACGGGAAAAGCTAAAAACATCCCCTTGGATTTCACAGAAATACATTCTACAGCTCCAGTTCATTCAATATGCTTCCTTTGAAATCAAGGCCATAGAGCACCAACAAACTATCTGATGCCAGAACTTTCCAATCTAGATTCATAGGGGAGTTCCCTCAGTGGATGAATGGAGACAAGTTCCATGACATGACCGGCTAAGAAGCACAAGGCTGAATCCGCTGGCACAGTGGTCTCTGGCCACCACCACGGTTATAGTATGTCCTTTGCAAGTCTGAAAATTCTGACCAAGGGAGCAGGTCTTTATGCCACCCCCTCTCTTGCTGGTATAGGTAACTTGTAACTTGTGCCCGCTCACCTGAGGAGCAGCACCGAGCCACGGTGCAGGGGTCAGCAGGCCTGGTAAGAAAACGCCTCTAGAATCTCCTGTCCCAAGGGTGGTGGGAGAGGGGCTCTAAAGGAAAGACAAACAGACATGACTCACCCCTAACCTGTGTTCTGTGAGGGTGTCAGGAGACAACTGCAAGGTGAAGGAAGGGCCAAGGAGTCAGAAACAAGATTCCAATTAGGTTTCCCTCCCCTCCTCTTTTTGGACAGTATCCAAGGTTATATAGAGTTGCGACTGTACAAATCACCTCTACGGAAACAGCAGTAATTCCTGTCCTAAAGGGCAGTATTAGTAGTCATTAAGGAATCGGTGGTATTTCTTAAATGGATTTTTAAAAAACAAAAACAAAATTTGAGCTCTCACACAAGAAACAACCCAATTCTAACAAAGACACTTGTCAAACAAGAAGTGTAAAAAAGGGGGTTCCTGCCACATTGTGGGTGGGGAAATGAAGGAAGAGGAGCACAATACACATGTTGGAAAAAGTGTGCTAATTTTCCTTTTATTCCCCTGAGCAAGATGGCAGTGTATCGTTATCTCTTGCTAAAGCCTATGTTTAGACTGGCGGGAAGAAGAGAAACGCTAATTTCCCTGCTAAGTTTAAAGCTCTATTTACTTAGTGCTATATTGAATTGGCCAAGGTAAACGAACCTGAATCTGCTCTGCTGGAACATGGATAATGTGGGGCGGCCTGTCGCCATGGTGATGCACCGCGTTGCTCTCCTGTTCATAAATGGCATCACGTTCTGGCTGAGGAAGACTGAGGAACCTTCGGATCATGGAGAGGTTCTCCCACAGAGTCCTGTTTTCTGGAGAAGGATCTTCTTTCCAGCGTAACAGCTCACACAACCACCCCTTAGAGACAAGGGCATAATAGGTCAGTTCATGCCTGTGGGGGGGGGGGCTGATATTTTCCATTACGAGCTAAAAAGAAAAGACCTTGTAAAGTTAACTTTCTTCATAAGTTCCAAACACTCCAATCTCAAAAAACGTTTTTTAACCTGTTAAGGGAGAATAGCTGTGGCTGTCAAGAAGGCAGGCTCTGTTTCTAATAAATGTTCAGATTTGCATCTTAAAGGAGGGTCATGTTTTTTAAGATTCCAAGGGCAAGACACATTTACCACGGACTTTGCAATATGTGAAATAGGAGAAAGGCAAAGCTGAATGTGCTTCTTGTCTTGCCCAACGTTCTTGTCTGATGAGCAGCCATCTGAGAGCCTGAAGGTATTTAAGAAGAGATAGGACAGATTTTTAAAATAATTTGTTTTCTGAAAGGATTCCCTAAGTTTATGATTTTTTGTATCAGGAAGGAAACTATGTGTAAATGTGTGTGTGTGTGTGTGTGTGTGTGACCGAGAGAGAAAGGACACAGGCAGTAGTGTGAGCAAGAATGTTGTCCAGTCTAAAGCATAATGATCAGAATGGGCATTAGAAGACTTCTCCAAAAACTTTCCAGAAAGACATCTCAGAGCCTGTTTTTTCCTGCCCACTGCAGTGCGCAACATATGATTCACCAGACAAGAATTTTAATAGATTTCCTGAGTTAAGAGAGAAGGAAATGTCCAGTGAATACCAAAACCTGAACCTCTCTGATGACTCCCCTAAGGCCCCATTTTTGATCCTCAGAGTATCAAGAAATGACTGGTCTAACAGAGTACATTGTCTAACATTTTTGAATCCTCATCTCAAACATCCTTCATCTCGCCTGCCACAATGAACACTCGCCACTGGGGTGGAGAGTAAGAGGGAGACAGTCCCAACCCAGATCCCCTCACTGGCAAGGCAACTACCTCCTGCTGCCATGCTGCCTGCTAACAGCTACACTTCTTTGGAGCAATATCTGGAGTCATCTCTACCTGAAGATGAGTGGACAGTTACTCCACATCCTCGCTTGACCCCCTCATGCTGGGGTGGTGAATGACTGGCTTACCAGTGGTACAATGTCCCTGCCCTCTTCCTCCAAAGTGACAACTCATTCAACCCTTCAATCTACTCTTTGGAGATGCCCCTCTGCCCTGCCTTCCTTCATCAATACAGACTACCTGAGACCATATTTTTACTGGGCCCCTTCCTTTTCTCCCTTCCTCACTCCTTCCAAGTCCTTCATAAAGTCATACATACCTGATTCCCTCTTAGGCTCTACTTTAGTGGCTTGACCAAAGATAAAGGAATTTCTTGGAAATTCCAAGTAAATGAGTTGGACAGGAGTGGAACGAGCAGTTTCTTTATTATCTGATTTTTAGAACTAGCCAAGGAGAGTTTGTGTGTGTTGTGCAATTGTTGTTTGGGGTGAGACCAGAGAATGATATGGCTTTTCTTCCCTTTATCTGAAACTGAACCACTGGAGAAAATGCTCCTTCCCCTTCTAATTGCAATATACAGTGAAAAGAAATAAGGCCCACTTTCCCCCAAATGGCTCATTTGAGAGAATTTAAAAGGAAAGCTGGAAAGCTGATAACATCAGTTTCCCAAAGCCCACTACTGACCAGCCAAGGGTGAATGACTGTTGCTAAACCTCATGAGATCTACTAATTTTTCTGAGATATTTGTTTCTCTACTCAACAGGTCCTATAATTAAACAAATATGTACAAGGGGATAGTCATGCAATCATGCACTCATTCAACGCCACTGAATGTGCAATTCAAGGCTATGAGCGCAGGCAGTAAACTGAACATTTACCTGAGAGAATAATAGTTAAAAAAAATAATTGTGATTAGCATGTCACTGAATATGCTTCTTTTCTAACCATGGCAATTCTATGTTTATTTCCAGAAAAATATGATGATGTGTCATATTTTAGCTCTATTTATAGGAGTCTAATATTAACTCTCAAACTGCATTTGAGTATTTGAAGTATTTGAGACCCACTTGCATACAGTGCCCTGGAGATGTTGTTTATTTAGCTCTTATTGGCAAATATTTGCTATCTGGATTGAGCCATGAAAACGTTTTATACTTTCCAAATCTCAGCTATTTCTTTACACTTTACCTCTAAGTTTGGATGCTGTGCAGATTTTAGATATCTGTCTTCCTGTAGGCTTGACTATTAGCTATGGTTGAGATGACTCCTCCTCCCCTTTCTCTCCATTCTTCAGTTATAGCAATTGACAAGCTCCCATGCCTAAATAGAGCAAAACTGCTACAATTCTATTTACCTTTTAAAATGTCAGAAGGTTCATAAAAAACAGAACAGAAAAGTTGTTGGGGGGGGGGGGTTGTACTTAGCTAGTATTGTATACTATTGCAGTAAGTGCCAAACATTGAGTATCTAAGAATTTTTTTTTTGAAAGAAATAAAAACACTTGTAACTAAAATTTGCTTAAAGTTAAATTAAGAACAATTCACATAAGAAAAGCTTCTTGGAGAGAGCTGAAAAACTCCAATAATTTTTCCAATCCTTTAGAAACTTTTTAAAGTAACAGATCAGTTAGCACTTGGATATATGTGAAAAAACATGTGGATCACAGATGTTCTTTGGAAAAGAAAATCATTAGTTCTTTTAAAATGGCTAATAATGATAGCTAATTCCTAAACAATCACACTCATGCTGGTTTAACAAATATTTCAGAAAAAGAGCCCTGACTCATTCAACAAATATTTTGCTCATATTGTCACTTCTGTGTCTCTATACTTATGAGATGGATCCTTATTTTTATTAATTGCCCGTGACTAACATAACATTTCCAGTAGTTTGCTATTAACCTCTGCCCTTAAATAATACTTCTAATTCCTTATCTAAAAATAATTTGATGAATTATAAGTTTGAAGCATGTCTCTGCTAGCCTTTCAAGAGACATGATGATTTTAAGAGACTGAAATCAGATGCTTCTTAGAAAAATATTTAACGGTGCAGCTGGGAACTGTTAGCTCTACAAGGGTATTCCAAAAAGAAAAAAAAAAAAAAAAGAACTAAAAGGGGGGTAGTGCTTTTCTTGATGTGCATATCTCTTAAAAAATAATGGAAAACAGACATTTTGACACACAAGTTCTTTGTCATCAGAGACACTGGCACATTCCCAATTTATGTTGGCAAAGATAAGATTAATTCATTCTAATACTATTTAAATACTTTGGAATATTCTGACTACCTCAAATCCTATCAATTGAGACTCTATTAATGATGACAGTAATCTGATCTATGTCTTGCACAAAGTGACTAAAAAAGCCAAATGCTTTCTAACTCCCCAATACCTTTTTCTAGGTCATTTTTTCCTAAGTGATATTGTTAGAGCAAACAAACTTGGTAAGACAATGAACATGTCAGAATATTGTAATACCTGACAAATAATGATGATTCTCCTAAGTACTATATTGGTTTTTAAATGATAAATGTATAGATTCACTTGGTAGAAGAGAGACAAGGAATGAAATGCAGTACTTTGTTGCAAAATGTAAATATAATTACATTTTTAAGAGTGGTCTCTGGGACTTGAAATATTATAAGACCATAGGTAGGAGTAGTGAGCTACCCCCCAAATTAAATTAGATCACGACTGTTCTGTACAGTAGAAAAGACAGGAGAGTAGCAGCCTTAAAATAATGAGACCGATCCATTCTCAGAAAACTAAAATGGTACAAGGAACAACCTAAAGTTTAAATGTAGTAAATTTGCCAAGCAACATTACACTGCATATAAAAAGGGCAAAATATAAACAGTAGCCACATGTAAATAAATTAGTAAAACTTTCAGGATGTTACTACTTTTCAAACTGACGAAGTTTAATTTGACACCTTCTGTTCTAAACCCTTTGTTTCTATTCAAAATCACGCCTTGAGCTGTTGCTATCAATCACAGCGCTCCCCTATTACTTAAAAAAACTGGCATGAACCCTGAATAAGCTGAAAATGCCATGCAGATGAATTCTGAGATAATATGTTCAAACCTGTTATATACAACACAAATCCTGTAAAGTTATGTATTGTAAACCTACATTTATTGAGAACTAAAAGTCTTAAATCCATCTGCCACAAAGGAAATACTGTTATGTACTTTATAGTAACCAAGAACCATCTGCAAATGTCTTGCTACCGTAAGCAAGAAAATGGTGCAGAAGATGCTAAACCTAAGACTGCATAAAATAAATAACATTCGTTTGACTGGTTTTGGTGAGGGATCTATTAAAAAAAAAAAAAAAAAGTAAGATCGGGGGGGAAAAAAGGAAAGAGAGAAAATGCAGAATGACTGCCAAACCAGTACTGAAAAAAAGCAAAACAAACTCAATGACAACACAATGGCAATTTATTATGGTCCATGAAACACATGACTGTATGCTCATTTTAAAGGAAAAATTAGCAGTTCTAAACTCAATATTCTAATGATGTGCTTTACTGACAGAATCTTGTTGTACCACATTTAAATAAAAATCCTGGCACCTTCATCTCTCAGCTGCTAATTTCCAACCAAACTCAATCCCTGATTTCCACTCCACTCCTTTTAGAACAATTAATTCAAGTCAATTCACTTCGAACATTTTAACGGAGAAGGGGTGCGCAATGATTCTAATTGAGTCAGAGAAGTAACCTCCTTTCCTGAATGGAATTTATTGTACCTCTACAGTCTCACGCACATAAAAAGAGAACCCTTCCAGGGTCTGTTCTGTGACAGAGCTGGGAGCACAGAGCACAACTAGTTTTCCAGGGGAAAAGAGGTTTCAGCATTCTCTAAGAAAAAAAAGTCCTTTCACACAATACACAGATACGTATATATTATTGTTACATATACATTTTAAACCCAAGAGCTATAAAAAAAAGAGAAAGAAAATGACAATTCTTGCTGCAACGAAGAAGGAAAAATGCATTTTAAGAAACGGAAGGATAATTTGAGTTCTAAAAAGCAAAACATTTTATAGTCTGT